AGGTGTGTTGCCGCGACCCTTCACCGTATAAATGCCGTCGGCTTGATTCCGAGCCATGTTGCTGCGCGCTCTCCGCTCTGCGATAGTCATACCATCCGAATTAGATCCGTCAGAAGGCATGAAGATCCCAAAACGCTGGGCACTCGCCTGTCGCAAGCCTTGCATCCAGGCACGCGAGGCACGTGAGATGAGGCCTGGCCTAGATGAGCCATCATTCTGCCTAGGCGGCGCTCTGGCAAAGGATAGATTCGAGACCGTGCCAGTTGAATCGCGATGCAGAAGCAGAGCGCCGACAGCCTCGAGCGCACTGCCATTGCTGGCTCTGCGGCCCGCGGTTGCTTTCCACCGCGAAGATCGCTCGGCGTTGCGGGCCACATGCTGTCTATTGATCTGGTTGTGATGAAGCGCCTCTCCTTCATTCCACGTCCGTGCTACGCCAGAGCGCGACAGGACCGATGAGACAGTGAGATATCGAGCCTTGGTTGGAGCACTCGACGAGCCTAGGGGAAGCCTTTGAGAAGCACTGCTCGAATCGTGCTTCTCCGCTTGAGGGGTAGCGACGGACTCAGTCGCCCTCAAAGAAGTGCCAAACGATGTACCGATGCTCAAGGGCTGTCTTGGCAATGGTATCCTGCGCTGTTCCGGAGAAGACTCTGCGCTCCACTGCGGGGACTGCTGATCCGGGCTGAGCGTCGGCGAAGTGAACGTGCGACCCGCTGGTCCGTCATCATCGAGCGGGTGCCGACAGGAAGAATCAGACCGCGTATCGATGCGGGACGGAGGCAACGGCTCGAGCTCGTCCAGATCCAGAGGTTGAAGATGAGGCGAAGTCATCTCCAAGACATCGGCACCATAGGGGTCCGGCGATGGGCGGCAAACCACGCGCGCCGTCGCGATCACTTGATCCTCAGCTGACTCGACTTAGTCAGCTCCATGAATCTTCCGTGGTCCGGTAAAAGTTTCCAAACTAGACAGTGGCAATCGACGGAGGCGTGGAGCCGGGAGTGGGTCAGCTGGCCAGCGTTGTTGCCGTGATCGCATGTGCGGGGGTCAGGAATGGGACGTGATCGGCCCAGGGAAGGTTGTAGGAGGGCGGAACTTTATATACAATCCAATTAGGAGCAGCAGGCACGGCACGAAGCATGTCAGAATATCCGCGCCGTCGTGATGGTGTGCGGTCAGGAGGCAACGCCGCGGAATGCAGCAGAGATGTGGGGTCCAAGGTAGACTTGACTCCAGACTTTGAACTCAAGACTGCGGAATGAAAAACCGCGTCGACCCTCGCTTCCTGCCCGCGGTATTGTCACGTGATGAGATGTCAGTACCTTGGATCGCGCCACGCCCTTCACCCCAGACACACGAGTGGGTTGCGCGCGCAGTCACTGAGTTCCATGATGCAAGAACTCCCTGAGGATCGCGCCTCCTTGTGCCTGATTATTACCACCACAGCGATCTGTTACAAAGCTGAGCAACGAGGCTTTGTGCTATCTGCTCACATATTGCCATTCGTCGACGCTGACAAGCGGTCCGAACGAAAGCACGCAGAGCTGCCACGAGTATTCGACAATTCGGCACCAAGCTAGCTAGCTCCTCTGCCTGGACTAGGACGAACCCCGGTCGCGCCTCCATGTCCATCACATACGCCTGAAGTATTACAAACCGACAGCTTAAAGCGCTTCAGCGGGCCATTGGCTCTTCGTCATCATGTCGGACCACTCAGACGACATTGACTTCATCACCAATCCCAATCAAACCGCCGGTGCGGGGGGCAGTGGAGCCGAAGCAGGAGGAAGTGGAGGAGACCTGGACGATGCGGCCGAGATTGCAGCGATGCAGGCAAGGGTCAAGGAGATGGAAGCCGAAGCTTCCAGGCTCAGGGATCTTCAGAGCGATCCGAATTACCGCCCTGACCGGAACCTGGTCAATGACGCCGTAGGTATAGGAGCACTCGATGAGGAGAAGGAGGAAATCGACGCGAGAAGCGTTTTCGTCGGAAATGTGAGTTGCGTAGCATCAAGTGTCGGATCGAAGAATGGCGTCGCTACAGTTTCGAGTGTACGCAGAGCAATCAGGCGTGTGCCGCGACGTGCTGGAGTCGCCTTTGTGCGCAAGCGCGAGCGCTCAGGGGCATCAAGCTTGGCAGGCCCACGTCAGGCGCGAGCTAACGCTTGCGACTTGATTTGCCAACGTCTCCCTCTTCTCGTCGTTGTGCTGGGCTTCCAACGTTTGACTTGCTCACACGTCCCGTTTTGCACCTTTGCACCTTGCAGGTGGACTATGGCGCATCACCAGAGGAGATCCAGCAGCACTTTGCAGCGTGCGGCACCATCAACCGAGTGACCATCCTCTGCGACAAATTCACTGGACATCCAAAAGGATTCGCCTACGTGGAGTTTTCTGAGCCAAGCTTGGTGGCGAATGCAATGGTCATGAATGAGAGCCTGTTCAGGGGCAGATTGCTAAAGGTGAGCTGCCGTTGCAGCGCCACCCCATCGTCATCCGACTGATACGCTCAGTTTGCTGAATGCTCGCACATCCATCATTCCAGGTCACAGCAAAGCGAACTAACGTGCCAGGAATGACTGCCAGGGGTCGCGGACGGGGCAGAGGACGTGCGCGTGGAAGACCTTTTAGGGCGCGAGGCCGTGGGAGAGGATATTACTGAGCTCGAGGCGGACTCAACTCGGATCGAGCGTAGGGCTCTCATCTCGGTGCATCATTCAGCAAGCGTGTGATGAGCAGAGCTCAAGGTGGCCATCGTGAGGAGACGACCGTAAGGAGTCTATCGTATCAGCGGAGGATCAACGTGTCTTTCTGTATCAGCAAGAACAGAGAGAGACGATCCTGGTTCGGGACCCTAGTTCGTGACAGCAAACAGAAATATCAAGACAGCGACTGCCTTTGTACTCCTCTTGACCTCTTCTTTACGTCGCATTAATCCTACCAAGAGTCTCTGGCGACCTGGCAAGCAGTCGAAGTGTGTCTGTCGCCTGAACACTTGTGTCAGCGGAAGGGGCATAATGGAAAGCGCATTAGACGTATGTCGGTCCTTTGTCGGCCGCTCAGGTGCCCAGGCTCGGCCGCCTCTTCCTACTTGGATAGCACTCCAAACCTGTGCTATCGTGCAGAGATCATGCTCAATACGCGTGTGTAGATGCTTGCGTGTGCTAGCGGATGCCGAAGAGCAAGGTGGCAAGGTGGGAAGCGGTCTTGTGGACCTCTCAACTCGCTCTCTCTTCTTGCTCGCCCGCGTGCTGCTTGCTTCGTTCAGGTCGTGAACAGATTCTTGAATGTGGGTAGGGGTTGGGGCTTTGGGCTTGGGAACCGGCAGCTTCGCAATTCAAGTCGAAGTCGAGTGCGTCCCTTGTGCTCTTGACAGTCTCGAGTCTCGTGCCTAGATCGACGTGCTTTGCAATGAGAGCCTGGATGCGCATACTTTCTTCTCAGCAGAGCTGGATTTTGATGGCAGGTGAACAAATCATCTTGCATGTCGAATGAGTTTGCAGTCCGCGTATGCTATGATTCCCGATTCAGAGTTTCCGCGGACTTCAATCGAAATCGCACGTACACCGTGCCACGACTAGAGAAATCATTCACGATCCGTATTGATTTGAAACTGCCAAACCGAACGTCACTCACTACCGCGCCGCAGTCTTGGGTCTGTGAGTCAAGACGGATCGCCGTTCGTGATGGATGGATGCACTTTTCATACGAGTGCCGCGGTGCTGCCCCACGCAACTACAGCATACGGTACCAGAGCGCGGTAGCCGCTTGCAGCTGCTGATGCATGCGCGGCGCATTGGTGTGCTTGCGTGCGAGGTCGCGTGCCTCCGCCTCGCCTCTGCATCGGGACCCGCGCATCGTATCAATGGAAGCGCAATGCTTTGAATCTGAATTAAAAGCTTGAGTTTGCGACTCGCGCGCGCTCAGCGGGACTCGTGGCTCGCTGTGCATGCATGGCCGTCGTTCCTGACCATCACCTCTCTCTCTGTCAACGACTCGGCGGGATAGGATCGACGTGGCTGAACGTAGTGCTATAGTCCTTCAAAAGGTCACATACTTCTCCCTCTTCCTCCGCAACACACACCCTCGACAGACGGTCTTGCTCTCCTCCAAGCCCAGCACGCCAGCCAGCGCCTGCCTGTTTGCCTAGCTCAAAGACCCTGCTCTACGCTGCTCGACTTTTCCTCTGCTGGCCACGTGAAGCGAGCCAGCTGCATGGCTTTGGGCCAATCAGATCGCCGCCTTCTCATTCTCTGTCATCTGTCTCGCAGCACGACCACGACATCGACCTCTCGACCTATACTTGCTCGCATTGACGCGTCAGCATGGCGCCCTCAACCATTCCTCTGCTGGTGAGTGGAATGCTAGCGACGGGCATCAGCAACAGCATCTTCAGCAAGTATCAGGACATGCAGTGTGTGGAGCACTGCACACCCGGCGATGATCATTCCAGGGTCGACTTTAGTCAACCAGTCTGGCAGGTGAGTCCGCGTTCAGCCGAGCGCCAACCAAGTCATTTTGACCAGCACCAACGTCATGGTTGGCTCACCTTTCGGGTCCGCTTGGTCGTCGCGCTCTTTGCAGACATCACAGATGTTCTTAGGAGAGTGTCTGTGCTTGCTACCTCCCCTGTTCATGGCTCTATACGCTTGGGTGCAAAGCAAGCGAGAAGCTCCCTTGTTCAAAGGCGGTCAGGGCACATCTGCCTACGAGCCGCTGTCGGACGACCCGTACGCAGTGAATGCCTTGCTCGACGACCCGCAGTCCGACGACTCGGCATTCAATGCGTACGCTGGTGCGAGCGGTATCAATCGCGGCGCAGAGCCAGGCTCTTCCGCTTTCAGCTTCCTCATGCCGAGCCACTGGTTGGGCGAACAAGGAAGCTCTTCGGCCTTTTCCCGCCTCGTGCCTGCCTTCTGGCCAGTGTGGAAGGCCCCGCCTAAGCCCGCTTCCACTTTGCATTCAGGCACCGCATCTCTGCCAGGTATCGGCGCATCGTATGTACCGCGAAGGAGCGCGCCGATGCATCGACCTAGTCCTCTTGGCCAACCTCCTACAGGGTCTAACAATGCTTGGGATGAGAGAATACCTGCTAACGCCTCTGCGGAAGCTACAGGTCTCGAAGATGTCGCCGAAGAGGATGTAGAAGCGGATCTCGACGAAGCGGAGGCAGACGCGGACGCGGATACTGATGCTACAGACAATGGCGCACTAAAGGGCAGGGCCATCTTTCTCTTCGTCTTGCCAGCCGCTTGCGATATCTGCGGCACTACATTGGTGAGTGCAAGGTCAAGCAGCCAATACCGCGCACCTCAATCCTCATCATGACGCCGGGCAACACACTTGCAGATGAACGTTGGGCTTCTCTTCACACCAGTGTCCATCTATCAAATGACGCGTGGAGCCCTCGTGCTCTGGGTTGGTGTCTTCAGCGTCATCTTCCTGCAGCGTCACCTTTTCCTGTTCCAGTGGCTAAGCCTGCTGACCGTCATGCTTGGCGTATGCATCGTCGGTATCAGCGGTACTTTGCTAAGCCCTGGCGGTAGCGGCGGAACAGAGAGCCTGTACTCCAACATGGTCGGAGTCACGCACGCTGGCGCAGCCGCGGTGCGGAGATCTTTAGAGAACACCATCGCGCGACGCAGCGTATTGGCAGCATCGCGTAGAAGCGGAGCGGAGGGTGCTGGTGCTGGTCACTCCGAAGAGACTCTTCAAGCGTTCCTGGGCGTGCTTCTAATCTTGTTTGCCCAGCTTTTCACTGCTGGCCAATTCGTTCTCGAAGAGAAGATCATGGGCAGGTATAGCGTTGAACCTCTGTGAGTAAAATCGCAAAAAGTCGAGCGATCCACAAAGCGTGACGTGCTTAGACCGCATTGCTGCCTTGCCGCACCTTTTGCAAATTGCAGTCTTGCGGTCGGCTACGAAGGCCTCTTTGGCTTCACCATGACGCTCTCCGCTCAGGTTCTGCTTCACTATTTCTATGGCCGTACACCACGCGGTCAAGGCGGCTACTTTGACATGGTCACGGGCTGGCAGCAGATGATCAGCAACAATGCGGTGCTATGGAGCAGTTTGGCCATCTGTCTCAGCATCGCACTCTTCAACTTTTTCGGTCTCAGTGTGACGAGAAGCGTCAGCGCTACGGCTAGGAGCACGATTGATACCTGCAGGACTCTAGGCATCTGGGCCGTCAGTCTGGTACTGGGATGGGAAGTCTTTAGGCCCCTCAGCGGATCTTTGCAGCTGTGAGCATGCTCGAGGCATACCTTTGAGCTTCGGAGCGCCAAGCGGCCGCTTTTGCAAAACGCGGCAGTCACATTTTGCTAACGCTCCTCTCTTTCCTCGTGATGATCATACACAGGCTCGGTTTTGCGCTCTTGTGCGCCGCCACGCTACTCTTCAATGGGGTCATCTCTGTGCGCTTCTTGCCGCGCTGGCTCAGACCTTCCCGAGGGCCTGCAATGGCACGCCTGCGCGACGCTTCGCGATCAAGGTCGCAAAGTCGCGCCTCGGCGGCAGCAGCTGCGGCTGCGAACAGTAGAGATCTAAGAAGGTCTGCCACTCAGAATAATGCTGCTGTCGCTGTTGCCTCGGCCGCTTCAGAGTACGCAGAGGAGAACGCTCCGAGAGGCAGACAGGCAACATAGTAGAGCGCGCACACATAGTACACGGCCTTGCAATGCAATAGATCTTCATCAAGTTTGCGGTGATTTTTAGATTAGCGAAGGTGTAGAAGCCGCACGTGGAAGAAGGAAGACCGCCTTGAGAAAGCGTACAGACTTTTACCCTTCAAGCGGAGCGCTCGACCATTTGCTCCTGGATGTAGAAATCTGTGCGCGCGCATGGAGTCACCAAGACTTAGCGGCAGATTAGATCGAGCATCGGCTGCTCGCCCATCCCCCCCCCC